ATTCGTTGTTCTAACATAACACTTTTTCGCGAAGCCCTTGCAAAAAATGAAACGAAGTGCACACGCGCGCGTTGTCGCGCGCGCATGCCGAAATCCGTCAAAAACCTTGAAAAATTCTCGGTGCCGGAAGGATTTCGCAATCGAGTTTCCAAAAAAACATACAAAAACACACGGTTTCGCAGCACTGATTTGCTAAAAAAGCTTCCGCGCGAGCTCTTGCGAAATCGTACGAAAACCATGAGTTTTTCCAGATCTTCACAAAATGCTACCAAACGGGCTTCGCGTGCGCGCATGTCGAAATCAGTCGAACGCCCTTGCGCGTGTGCCGTCGCGAGAATCCTCTGCAAAAAGCAGGACGACGTGGACACGCGCCCGTCGTCGCGGGCGTATGCCGAAAACCTTCAAAACCCATCGGTTTCGGAAGGATTTCAAAATCGTGCGTCCAAAAACCAAAAAACCTACAAAAACCTAAGGTTTCGCAACACGGATTTTCAACAAAAGCGTACGCGCGCGCTCTTGCGTCGTCGTCGTCGTCGTCGCCGTCGCCGTCCTCCCTCCTCCCGCGTCGTCGTCGTCGTCGCCTACGTCGTCCTCTGTCTTTTCTCGTGTTCGTCGTCGTCCTCCTCTTTGGCGCCGTGGTCGTTTCCGTCGTCGTTGTCGCCGTGGTCGTCCGTCCTCCTCCTCCCACGTCGTCGTCGTCGTCCGTCGTCGGCGTCTCGTCGTCGGTTCTATTTCGTCACCGTCGTCGTCGTCGTTGTCGTCGTCGTCTTCCCTCCTCCCTCGTCGTTGTCGTCGTCGGCGTCGCCGTCCTTCCTCCTTCGTCGTCGTTCGCGTCGTCGCCGTCCTCCCTCCTCCCTCGTCGTTGTCGTCGATGTCGTCGTCCTTCCTCCTCCCTCGTCGTCGCCTTCGTTGGCGTCGTTGTCGTCGTCTTCGTCGTCGTCGGCGTCGGCGTCGTTGTCGTCGTCGAAGTCGTCGGAGCCGTCGTCGGTGTCGTCGTCGTCGTTGTCGTCGGTGTCGTCGTAGTCGGTCTTAAGAGGTTTTGCAAACCAAGTTGCGGGTGGGAGGGTGGGATGTTTGCGCGAGCAGTGGAAAGGACAGCATCAACTTGAGCAAGTGATTGATTGCACCACATAGCTTACACCACGAAAGTCGTACCACCTGAAACCAAACAGATCGCACCGCATACGCTGCACCACACAGATTGCACAACATAGCTTGCATCACATAGACTGTACCACAAAGCTTAACCACATAGATTCTCCTTTCTTAAATCATGATTCACTCTACCCCCCCCCCGGCGTTATCCGCCCGCCTTTCGGGTATGTGAATCATATATGTTTCTGACCACATGTCCATCCTAAATATGAATTTACGCTATCCCAGGGGAAACGGTATCGCGCGCGTCGTCGCGCGCGCATGCCGAAATCCTTCAACAACCTACGGTGCCGGACAGATTTCGCAATCGAGCTCAAAAAAAACATACAAAAACTAAGGGTTTCGCAACACTGATTTGATAAAAAAGCTTCCGCTCGAACTCTTGCGAAATCGTAAGAAAACCATAGGTTTTTCAAGATCTTCACAAAATGCTACCAAACGGGCTTCGCGTGCGCATGTCGAAATCAGTCGAGCGCCCTTGCGCGTGTGCCGTCGCGAGAATCCTCTGCAAAAAAAGGGACGAAGTGCAGACGCGCGCGTCGTCGCGGGCGTAAGCCGAAAACATTCAAAACCTATCGGTTTCGGAAGGATTTCCATATCGTGTGTCCAAAAAACCTACAAAAACCTAAGGTTTCGCAACACGGATTTTCAACAAAAGCGTGCGCGCGCGCTTTTGCGTCGTCGTCGTCGTCGTCGTCGTCGCCGTCCTTCCTCCTCCCGCGTCGTCGTCGTCGTCGTCGCCTACGTCGTCCTCTGTCTTTTCTCGTGTTCGTCGGCGTCCTCCTCTTTGGCGCCGTGGTCGTTTCCGTCGTCGCTGTCGCCGTGGTCGTCCTTCCTCCTCCTCCCTCGTCGTCGTCGTCCGTCCACGGCGTCTCGTCATCGTCCCTCCTATTTCGTCGCCGTCGTCGTCGTCGTCGTTGTCGTCGTCGTCTTCCCTCCTCCCTCGTCGTGTCGTCGTCGGCGTCGCCGTCCTTCCTCCTTCGTCGTCGTTCGCGTCGTCGCCGTCCTTCCTCCTCCCTCGTCGTTGTCGTCGTTGTCGTCGTTGTCGCCGTCGTCGTCCTTCCTCCTCCCTCGTCGTCGCCTTCGTTGGCGTCGTCGTCGTCGTCGGCGTCGGCGTCGTTGTCGTCGTCGAAGGTCGTCGGAGACGTCGTCGGTGTCGTCGTAGTCGTTGTCGTCGGTGTCGTCGTAGTCGGTCTTAAGAGGTTTTGCAAACCAAGTTGCGGGTGGGTGGGTGGGATGTTTGCGCGAGCAGTGGAGATGACGACTTCAAGTTCTGCAGAGTGGACTGCACCGCATAGATTGCACCACATAGCTTACACCACGAAAGTCGTACCACCTAACACCAAACAGATCGCACCACACACATTGCACAACATAGCTTGCATCACATAGACTGTACCACATAGCTTAACCACATAGATTGCACCACATAGAGTGCACCACAGAGATTGCACCACATAGACTGCACCACGTAGCTGACACCACATAGAGTGCACCACATAAATTGAACCACGTTGACTGCACCGGCGAGCCCCCAGACAGGACGGCGAGGTAGGAAGCAAAAGGCGGGGAGGAGGCAGGAGCAGAGAGGAAGGGAGGAAGGAGGAGGTCGCGACCGCACTGCTGTATCCGAAACGAGAACCCAACACAGGAGACTTGGGAAACCATCAGGGCAACCATCGGGATAACCATGAAGACGCCCATCGGGACAACCATCGGCACAAACATCGGGGACAACCATTGGGCCACTGGACCACCGGAACGCCCATCGGGAAAACCAGCGGGACAACCACCGGGGCAACCATCGAGATAACCATCGGGGCGACCATCGGGACAACCATCGCGACAACCATCGGAACAGCCATCGGAAACACCACCGGGACAAGCGTCGGGACAACCATCGGGACAACCATCGGGAAAATCATCGGGGCAACCATCGGGACAACCATCGGGGAGACAACCATCGGGGGGACAACCGTCCGGACAACTGTCGGGATAACCATCCGGACAACCAGCGGGACAACTTTCACACCACGGCCGCCGCGTGGGGCGCCTCATTTGTCTGACTTGGCCCTAGCCTCCAACTACAGGCTCGGAAAGGTTTTCTCCTTACGCCGCCACATGGTCCAATGCCGAATAACAGGAGGATTTGTGTGAGCGATGGTTGCACTATGTGGTGCAGGGGCTGGCCGAACACGCTGCGCTTCGGATGCCCACACCCAATGCCCCGATTATACTGTAGCACAACAGTGCGGAATGTGAGCCAGTATGTGTGTTCAGTACACGCCAGTGTTTGCACCCATGACGTGAGTGAAATGTTAGTTCCTTGTCAGACACACATCGACAACACCCAATGTGTCTTGGGAACCCCTAAGGGCCATAACGTCCCGAATGAATCGTTTCCTTCATGTCCCTGCACCACGTGACATAATATACTGTGTCCCGGAGCGTCGGCCCCCCCAACGACGACGCCGCCGACGACGACGACGATGGTGATTTTGACGACCACGACGACGACTACGACGACGTTGACGTGCGCTCTCGCCAAATCAAACCAGGGATGTTGCAAGAGCTTCCCGGTTCCCAGGGCCAAACCTTGCACATTGCAAGGACGTCTCATGCGAAGAAGGACCCAGACCAGGCCAAACCAGGCAAATTGTGAGGGCGTCTCAGGCGAAACCAGGCCCAAACCAAGCCAAACCAAGCAAATTGCGAGGACGTCTCAAGCGAAACTGGGCCCAAACCAAGCAAATTACGAGGACGTCTCAGGCGAAACCGACCCCCAAACCAGGACAAACCGGGCAAATCGTGAGGACGTCTCAAGCGAAACCGACCCCCAAACCAGGCCAAACCAAGCAAATTGTGATGACGTTTCATGCACAACCGACGTCTCAAGCAAAATCAAGCCCAAACCAAGCCAAACAAAGCACATTCTGAGGACGTCAAGCAAAACCGGGCCCAAACCAGGCCAAACCAAGCAAATTCTGAGGACGTCTCAAGCGAAACCGAACCCAAGTCAGGCCAAACCAGGGGCCAAACCAAGCAAATTCGGAGGATGTCTCAGGCGGTTTGCGGCGCCCAACCGAGCCAAACCAAGCCAAACCAGGCCAAACCAGGGCCCAAACCAGGCAGATGTTGAGGATGTCCCAAGCAGAATCGCACAAACCAGGCTCCACCCACTCCTTAATAAAATTCGAATTAAAGGAGTGGAGCCACCCAGGGCCCTCCCCCCTGGCGCGAGCACGTTTAGAATTTTATGGGGGGGTGTTTGGACCACATGTCCGGCGAGGTGGACGGGGTCGGGTGCGGAAGGCTTCGTTTGTCTTTCGGTTGGAGGTGTTTGGTCCAAATGTCTGGCGAGGCGGATGGGGTCGGGTGCGGAAAGCTTCGTTTGTCTTTCGGTTGTTCCTGGGGCGTTGTTGTGCCGTCAGGGGAAATGTTTCCGAGTCTGTAGTGTGCGAACTCGTGCGACTTCGCCTCGCCTCGCCTCGCCTCGCCCGCACGCACTTCACGCACGTCACGCACGAAACGAAACGATGTCCCGGTTGGTGCATCTCACGTTGCACTTCGGGCTCGCCCCAAAATCTCCGACAGCACGGGAGTGGAGTGGCAAGGCCAGGGCTAAGGCATCCTTGGGGTGGGGGGTGCGGCTGCCGAAAGGGGCATTGTATTGGCGCCGTGTCTCCGAACGGCGGAAGGACTACCGCCGCCGCGACAACGCCACGTATGCAATGCAATATTCTTGCCTGCACCTTCTGCTCCAGCGCGGGCCTTGCGGCGGCCTCATCGAGGGCGGCAGAACAACCTCGCCAGGCCAAAACGGGAAGAGCCTTCACGTGAGGCATGTGCGCAAGTGCGGACGCATGCGGACCCTCTCTGGGCAATCGGCCGTACGTCCCTCCTGAAAGGAGGGAGGGGGGGCGAAGGAAAGGCAGAGAGAACTGAAGCTTGGGGAAGTAGGATGCCACGTGACTTTTCCGAAGGCCTCGGGGGCGTCGGTCTGAAGCCACACTTCCATCACGCTCCTAGATGGCACCAGGGGTCATGTCCTGCATCCGCGAACTGTCTTAGAGGCCTCTTCCCCAAGCAGTGCTTGCACTTAGGGGTTCTTTTCTTTTTCTATGGAGCAGGAAAACACTACCGCACGCGTCACCCGACGGGGCGTACTTGTCATATACCCACGTGTCAAAGTATCCAGCATGGTCACGCGAAGGTTGCCGCTGCAACCGACGACTCGGAGGAAGGAACCTGGCCACTCGCCACTGCTTCTAGCAGAGGCATGTGTTTGGTACAAGACGCCGGGGGAGTCATCGCGTCCTTGTGGTCGTCTTCCCCCAGCAAACCTCCGACGGCAAACCCTGATCGCCCCAAATGCTTCACAAACACATTCAAATACAGGATGCCACTCTCTGTGCGTCCATGGACGACTTTCAGCTCTACCCGGCCAATAGCAACCCATTGCGGACTCGTCCTAACGCTTTGCCGTACGCCGTAGTGGTACCCTCCAACTTGCTTAGCCTCTGCCCAAGAGCCTGTAATGTTCAGTTCTTGGAAATACATATCCGAACAACTTCCACCCAAGCGGCGCGCATCGGCCTGCACACGAAGCAATGCGTCTTCAGCGCTCACTCCGCGAGGGATGCTTATTAGAACATGTTTGCCCGCCTGCATTAAATCGAACCGCTCGCCGTGAACATTCTGAAGGTGGGGATCGCCGGTGGCAGCCACGCCTCCAGCAGCTCCACCCGCCATAGGAGCTGCGGGAAGAAACGTTGGTTGTGGCGTCGGCCAACCCAGAGGATATGTCGGGCTGGGCGTCGGGCTAGGGGTCGGGAACGGCGTCGGGAAGGCCGTCGGGTAGGGCGTCGGGAAAGCTGTTGGGTAGGGCGTCGGGAAGGCCGTCGGGTACGGCGTCGGGAAGGCCGTCGGGTACGGCGTCGGGAAAGCCGTGGGGTACGGCGTCGGAAAGGCCGTCGGGTACGGCGTCGGGTACGGCGTCGGATTCGGCGTCGGGCTCGGCGTCGGGTACGGCGTCGGGTTCGGCGTCGGGTTCGGCGTGGGCTTCGGCGTCGGGTACGGCGTCGGGTTCGGCGTCGGGTTCGGCGTCGGGTTCGGCGTCGGGTACGGCGTGGGGTTCGGCGTCGGGTTCGGCGTCGGCTTCGGCGTCGGGTACGGCGTCGGGTTCGGCGTCGGGTTCGGCGTCGGCTTCGGCGTCGGATACGGCGTCGGCCTCGGCGTCGGCCACGGCGTCGGCCTCGGCGTCGGGTACCGCGTCGGCCACGGCGTCGGCCACGGCGTCGGCCTCGGCGTCGGGTACCGCGTCGGCCACGGCGTCGGCCACGGCGTCGGCCTCGGCGTCGGGTCGGGCCCTTTCGCTGCCAGAGCCCTGTCCAGGGACCGTTGATCATCCGCGTCCTGGGAGCCCCTGGAGCTCCTGTCCATCAGCACCTCAGCCGCCTGGGAGCTGCTGGGACTGGCCACCCTGCAGAGGCCACACGTTGCAGGGCAGGTCGCTTTCACGGTGCTGCCGTACTTCGCATCTTCGCAATAAGGCTGCACCGCAGCACAACCACTGATAGTGACGCCGATGCCGCTTGCCAGCGCAATAATTTGGGCGTCGTCATCTGCACACTTTTGCTTGGAATTCACACCGATCGAGGTCACAGTGGGTACGCTGATGCTGAGGACGACTGCAACCACGGACCACACGGTCCAAGGTGCCTTCTGGACCGCCATCCCACTGAACAGAAAAGAAAGGACCCGCAAGCCAAGTGTGTTCGCGTGTGTGTGATTTGGTGACGGACAAAATGGAAGCTGCACCGAGTCTGTTTGAGCCAGGATGCCTGAGACGGGATGCATGAAGATTCATGAGTGCCACCAGCCCTCTGGGCGTAGGTGGTGTAACGGATTGTGTCTGTTATCTGTTTTTTTGTCATATCTCTCTCTCTCTCTCTTTCTCAAAACCCCTCCTTCCCCGGCTCGGGGGAAAAGTTGATCACTGTTCCTCAGTAATATACACCCCCATCCCCCAACCGGCCGGCGTCCGACCAGGAACCATGCCGACATCATGCAGGCCCGCCTTGAAGGGGCCCTGGGACACACAATAAATACACACACATAAAAAGATTCCCCACAGTTTCCCACATGTTCTGGGTGTTTGTCTTCCCCCCCCCCTTCCCATAGTTTCCCATACCCTCTGGGGATTCGACGACTAATTGTGTCTGTGTTGTTTCCCTCCTGACGCCTCCCACCATCCCTGTCAAAAAAAATACAAGCCGCACTCTGCCTCCACGCTTGGAGCATGCGCGGCCGACCCCATGCGCCCCCACCACCCTCCCTGTCAAAAAACAGTGCAAAATGCAGTCGGGGCGTCGACCTACGGAACCCTGAATAAGGAACGAGGCCCCTCTTTCCAGAAGTCCCATCGAAAACCAGAGGAAAACCCGAGGCAAGCTGTGAAACACTTGAGGAACGCGGAGCCCCTCCCCAACGAGAAGGGTTCCTTCTTCAGCGCCCCGACTGTACACATTGGGACAAAGTCTTGAGTCATGTTCGTGAGGCCCGCGAGCACGCTGTATTGTCTCAGACAGGGACGGCGGGGGTGCCAGCAGATTTCCTGCCGTGCGCACGGCTACCATCCTGGACACAAAAGCAAAAAACAAAACAATATGCACCTCGCGGCTAAATCGATATCGTGCGCGGCCACCCCACGATCACTGTCTCATGGTTGTTGACAGGGACGGCGGGGGTAGTGGCGCGTGGCCTGCTGTGCGCAGGCCCACCAGACACAATGATGGACATTGGTTTTCGACAAGAATAGCGGGGGCCGACATGGTTCCCGATGTGTGTTGTCACGTGCACAAGCGCACCTGACGCACTCTGCACGTGCCTCAAGCATGGCGCACCTGGCGCGGCTGGAGTGTGCGGCACACCTGGCGCATTCGGAGCACGTAGCGCATCTGGCGCACCAGGCGTGCCTGGCACGCTCGGGCCCCAGGGGGGCCTGGCGCGCGTGGCGCCCCTGGCACGCGTGGCTCGCGCACCTGGGGTCGGCTTTGTTTCCCAGCAGGTGCCCATCCAAAGACAACCGCTGAACATGCTCAGGCTCGGAGATTACTTCTATGTTGGGAGGGCGGGCGGGAATGAGCTACCCCTCTCCCTCTCCACTACCCCCTCCCATGTGCTTGTGAGGGGGGGGGGGGGGGCGCGAGGCGCTAGAGACCCCAAACATCGCCCAATTTGGCCCCAGGAGGGCCTCAGAGACCCCAAGATGGCCTCCAAGATGGCTCATTGGAACTCTGTATCCCGATTGCGCGCTGGCGATGGCGATGAGCTCGGTTGGGTCTGGGCCCCCCGGGGTGGGGACTCCATGCCCTGTCAATGCCACGACCTTGCAGGAGCCCATCCCCGAGGCAGCCGCCGCCAGCGTGGCCTGCAGCTGGGACGCGCTGGCATCCGCTACGACGATGGCTGGGGCGCTGTGTCCCTCGTCCTGGGCGCCCCTACTGCAAACTATTTCTTTAACCTGCTCGTAGGCGCTCGGGCCGAACAAAGATATGGTGGCGCCTGTGTCGTCCGCATGCCTGTCCCCAACCAGCGGAGCTCTTGCAATGACGAGCTCCGCCCTCAGCTCCCTGACCGCTGCCATAAGGAGGGGTGTTGGGAAGGTGGCCGGCCCCATCTTCCTAGGACCTCCCGGAGGATGCCTGGCAAGGATGGCAGCCCATCTGCCCTGAGTGACGATTGGGGTTGCGTTCATCCTTTCCTGTCTGGATGGGGGAGCCGGCGCGCTATTGTTTCCCTGCCCCTCTTCGTCGTCGAGGTCGGAGGGAGGGGTTGAGCTGTCTGGCTCGTGGTCCATATCGTCGTCCACGTCCATGCCCTCAGGTTGCGCTGGTGGCCTCCTACTGTCTTCAACGTAGTCCTGGATTCTCTGCATGTCCCTGACCGCGATGCATGTGCTGGGCCTCCGCATTGTCACTAAGTCAGCCCTTAGGTAGTCCAGCTCCGTTGCTCTTGCAGCTGCAGCAGCTGCTAGCTCACCGCATGTGATCTGGGGCCTGATTGGGGCCAAGACTGCGCCCCTCAGCTGCAACGCGGCCTGCGCCTCACAGGGGGGGGGGCGCCCTGGGAGCAGCGCCGCGATGCTGCCTCTGTCGTTGGCCCTGCAATAGGGGCAGCGAACTGGCATGGCGTTGTCTCCTCCTCCGAAGACCCCTGGCTGACTTAGCCTCCACTGCTCCAGGCATTGCCTGTGAAACCTATGCCCGCATAGGCCGAGGACTTCCACCGCCCCTGAGCTCCCCAGAGCAGATGGCGCATGTTTGCTCACCTTCCCCAGAATCCCATGCTGGGATTTGCTCTGGCTGGCCTGCTTGGAGGGCCCCTTCCGCGTCGCCTGGTGGATCAGCCGCACAAGCGATGGCCGAATAAATGCTCCCTGTGAGGATTCGTGTTGCGGCGAATGCCTCTTCCTCTGTTTGGCACGCCTTGAGTGCAGTAGTCTGTAGAAGGAGGCATATCTGCAGGTTCCCAAAGGGGAAGTGAGCAACTGGGGGTCGTTCCCCCCCCCTCGCCCAATATGCGCCTGATGTCATTTGGGGCATGTACATCAGCGATTTGTAGCCACCTGGTGAGGACTTCGAAAGGTCGATTGTCTATGCCTCGTACCTGAAACACTGGCCTCAGAAGGGGGCCGTAGCGGGGCGCGAGGCAGAGCCACATGGCTCTGGATACCCAGCTCGCTGGGTCCAGCCGAGCTCTGGCTTCTCTGGGCAATCCTTCTGCCACTGCTTGGGCTTCTGATCCATTGAGGGAGGTGCGGTCTACATTATGTTGCCTGGTTCTGCCTGCCGCCTCGTCGTCCCTCTGCGCGGCGTCGAGCGCCCGCATCAGGGCGTCCAGCGTTCCTCCCCTGCTGAAGGCCTGCGCGGCAGTTCTGTCGCCGTCGCTGGTCTGTCCCCCGGACGGCTGTCTGGTGTTCTCATGCCACGGGGTGGTGGTGCTTTGCGCCCTTCCTCGTGTGGGGGAGGTGGGCTGCTGCCTGCCTGCTGCGCCGCCCCCATTCTCGTTGTTTCTGTCCTGGATTCGGGCATTTCGCAGACGCGTGCCGCTTTCTACCGCTTCTCTCTCTCTGCTGTTAACACCGCCTCCTGGAGTTGTCCGCGGGGGTCAAGCCAGCCCATCATGCTTTCCTGCAGCGGAGGGTCTATATACGCCCCTAGTAGGGGGGATGCGACTGCTCTTCCGATTTCTGTCGTCAAGCTGGCTGCGGCTAGCCCGAGCCTGCGGCGCGCCCCCTCAAGAGTAGCGACTCCCACTTGTTGCCATCTCTCGCCGGCCCGTCTGGCTAGGGAGCCGGGGGCCCCTGTGGCCTCAAACGCACGCTCGAGTGCGGCTCTTCCTTCTTCTGTCGCTGCGCCCCAGATGAAGGGGACCAACAGTCGACTCCATGCCATGTTTCGTGGAAAGTTGTCGTTCGCAACCTGAGTGCGGACGTCCTGGATATCATGTAGTACTCGCCGGGCGTCCCCCTCGCTTCTGCGGGGTGGGAACGCGGTCGGGCTTGGCCTTGGGATGCTCGTGGCCTCGCTTTCCCTTCTTGCGCTACCCTGTCGGCTACCTTCTCGGGCTACTGGGGCCCCAATTCCTCTCGCCCTCGTCCGAAGTGCGATTGCCAATCGCAATGCCTCCCCGCGCGGGGTCCCAGGAACCAAGCTGTACGCAATTAATCTCCCGCTGTCTATGGCGGCCGCCACCACGGCTCGGCACGCCACCTCTGTAGCCTCTATCGCCTCAGGGCTTGTGTCTGTTGCCCATGTCCTATCTGCCGGGGTGATGGCGAGGGCCTGATCGACGAACGCACCTCCGATTTCTCGTCGGAGCCATTCCATGTCTCCGATCTGGAGTCCTTCGAAGCAGTTCTGGCACCTGGCCCTTGGGCCCTGTGCACTCTGAGCCGGCCCTCTTGCTGCAGGGGGTTGTGCCGGCATGCTGGCGGCGGGGACGCTCGAGAGGCATCTCGGGGCCCATTCGCGTAGCCGGTCGCCGAGGGGGTGCTCTCGCATGGTGCGTTGAATGCGCGTCATCGCCTCTATAACCCATTCCATCGATGCACAGCAGAGCCTGGCCAAGGAGCCAGTCGTTGCCCAAAATGCCGGTTCGTCCCGTGCTCCTGGTGCACCGAGCATTCGCACTTCCGGCAAGTCTCGACCCCCGTGGTTCTCCATTTCGACCTCCGTCATGTGACACCATGCTGCGAGGAGCTCGGCTATCAGCCAAGACGGAGAGAAGTTGGTGGTCTCTAAAGGGTGACGCTCGCCGTCGATGTGGCTGGCGATGGGAGCGTACCGAGCCCCCACCCTGGCCAGCTGGAAGGTGAGCCTTGTGCCCAGCAGGTCCAGGGGGTGTCTGGGAGCTTCCACTTCGGTGGTGGGAGAGTTGTTCGTGTCGGTGACCCATGCTGACCCTAACCTGCGGCACACGATGCAGCTACTCATGTCCTGCCTCGTGCACCAACATCCACAATCTCCACATCTGCCTTTGGGGTGAAAGAAGTCCCCAATCGTGATCATTTGAGAAGTGTTGTTTACGGGCCAGGGTCCTGTCGGGATGTCGCCTTCAAAGTCCCTGGGCCCTCCAATGCCAGGGGGCTGCGGCTCGGCGCTGGGAATGGCTGGAATGACCCACCCGTCGTGGCCTAAGCCGCATTGCGGCGATGAGAGGACACCTGTGCCTGCCTCGACCCAGTGTCCTCTGCTGATGGCCCAACGTCGGACTTCGCTGCGATCCGGGAAGTGCACCGTGTTGCGGCGGTGCTCGTGGACAAGGTGCTTGCAGATCC